TGTATAAACTGGGCTAATATCTACGTTGATCTTCCGACTGAGGTCAGCCAACTGTTTTCGTACAACATTTGCAGATTTCTGGTCCTTGTAGGACAACACGATTCTGACTGGGGCTTCTCTTTTATCAGTCAGTTGGGTATGTGAATCCTCAGACACTTTTGATTCAACGAATCTGTGAATGGTTGACTGCACAAGGTCGTCAGGATAGCACAGTCGGGAGAAGATCTCTTTAAGGCTTTCACATTCCTTGTCTTCAACTTGCTTCAACATATTTATGCTGATTTGGAAAACTTACTTGAAAATGACCTCAGAGAGGTCGAAATGACATGACTTCTTAGCGCTAGCTTTTATTTCAGAGTTGATTTCTAAGAAACTACTTATTGAGAATTATTGTATGTCTTGAACAAATCATAGCAGTACATATTTTGTCTCCCTAGTTTTGCTCATTGTGCTTTCCCAACCAATATGTGGAAGGTCTCCACCCCTTCCCTCCCCCCCCCCAAAAAAAAAATTAAGTTATTGTTTAATTTTACAACACATCTCTGACTGGTGGCCAGTTTTGATTAGACCATAAGGAAATGAAAACCAGTGTGATCAATTGATTACATCAGATCAAATTTATCTTTATCTGATTTTTCTTTTAGTACAAATTAATATCAAGATTAAAACTGAATAGTTGTTTATAAATTCTTTTTTTATTATCTTTGTTATTTTTGTTATTATTATTATCACTATTGATATTACAATACTGTTCATTATACATTAAGTGGTTTATAACCTGGGGATAACATGTGATCACACTGTTCATTATTTTAGTTTGCAGGACAAGAAAATGTTAAATTTGTATTTGTGGGAAATAAAACTGACTTAGAAAGGCAAAGGAAAGTTTCAGAGGATCATGGACAGGAGGTAAGAAAAACTTGAGTGTGGTGCAAATGATGATCCTGCTAGCTATTAACAAGTTTCAATAGATTAACAACTTTAATGTACAGTGATTTGAGAGCCAGAGATGGGACAATTCCAAAGTCCAAAAGAAGGAGAACACTAATTCATAACATGAAAGACAGGGCTTGATAGCATCAGTTACCCCTAACCTGGGTCCACCTGTACTTTCCTTGGTCCTTATTCAGACTTTATTTTTTTTACCATACAGTACATATATCTTATTGGATGTTTTGTTGTGTAGTGTCGCTGAGTATTTTTATGAGTTGTGCTGTATTTTGACAAGCCCGTAGGGCGAGTAAAAATACTCAGCNTTTATTTATTTATTTATTTATTTAATCACTTTCACCAGAGTGTGGTGAGGGTCGCACAACAGAGCGAGGCTCCAAATTAAGTGCGCCCTATATCCCACCCATCCCACCCCAGGGGAGGACATCCATCACACAGTAATCTCGTGTGTGGGAAATTAACGTCTCCTACCCCAACCCTGCAGGAGACGGGACCTCCATTTATTCGTCCCTATCCGAGAAGACTAGAATATCTAACCATTTCTTGATGTTATAGAAAGGTAGCAAATTCTTCTCAATTATTTTTAAGACCCTGAGTGTCCAAATGTACAAACAAAGGAAATTACCAGTACATGAAAAATCTAAGAGACCATTCTGACATGAAAAGGATTAAAAATTTTAAAATAAACAACAAACCATGAAAATTGTCAAAAAATTATGCTCCCCTACCAATGCAGTGCCACAATTTCTTTTAATTAGAAACTTACCCCCATTTTCCTATATCAAATTTGTTTTACCAGTAATTGTTTGTTTTTTTTTTTTTTTTGGTCAGTTGGCAAATCAAACCAATGGAGCTTACATTGATGCAAGTGCAAAGACAAATAAAAACATAGAGATGGTAAGCATTGTACTTTGCATTCCATCTGTTAGTTCTCAGGTGATGATGGGGAGGTAATACTTGCTCCGACAGGTGAAACATTGTAGGAATATCTTTTAATGACAAAAAACAATTCAAGGTGATTATAAAAATCAAGCCTAAATCTGCTGGTTTGAATCTCATTGTTCTTAGAGAGGCAGACAAATCTTTTGAAAAAAAAAAGCAGTTAAAAGAAGTGGAAGATGATACCCATGTTCACTAGAACACCAGTCCAAGGAATCAGATATTTGTGGACAATTACAATCAGTTATTTTAATAACTTTCTCTGACAGTAATTGTGAACTTCCTTTAAAAAAGTAAGTTTATTATTTAAAGTTCTTGCAAACTTTGACATCTGTGACTGTTACCCACTTTTACCTGTCTAGATATTCAGAAGAATGACAGAGATTATTTTAGGTATGAATGAAGCATCAAATATGGTAAGAATACATTATGTACACTTCAAAGTTTGTAATCTTCAGCTTGCATAAAGTTAAACAGTTTTAACAGTTAACATGATAATTCTAGACTTGCTTAATTATAGGCAAACAGTGAGCCTGGCATGTTAAAAAAATTGCACATAAGAGCCTAAACCAAGTGCAAAGCACAAGACTGCATGGGTATATTTCCAACTGAAAGTAAAGACTTTCTAAAATTCACCTAGAGATTTAAGCCGCAAATCTGAAGTATAATCTAGACCTGTTGTTTATAATTAGGCCACTTTGAGACCACTTTCTTCCATCCCTACTGCACTGAGTAAACCTGTTTGAATTGACCACTAGCTTCCTTGTCCCCCTCTAAAATTCAGGCCTAGTTAAAGATGTTTAGTGTTTTCTGACTTAGGGAGCTCATAGACACTTTACCCATGTGTGTCTCGAGGTAGAATCATTATGAGTGTTTTAGCTAATTTAGCCCACTTCTGTGACAGTCCTCTTGTAAATTTTTTCCTTAAACCTTGCAAGTCTTATGCCACCACAGGCAGCCCAAGCTCACTACTAGAAAAGCGGACGTGACTCTTACAGTGTTGCGCAACGTCGTTTTATATTTATAAAGGTTTGTATGGGATGTTATCAGTTTGCCTTAAAAGAGAGAAAAAAATGTCTTGTTTTGAAATTAAATGGACTTACCTTATTGCCTTGTTGTTTTCTTTGTTGATTACCAACGTCCCAGGCCGTTTTGAAGCGTTTTCGCCGAGTTAACGCTATGTTGGTGTTCAACTGCTAAAAAAAAGACCAGGCTGGAAACCCATTTTAGAAGTGTCCGTCGCCCGAAGCGAATAATTCCGCCAAAACATAACCACCAGTCTCGATTCCCCTAGAAAATCAAAGCAGAGATGTTGCAGTTCCATTTCCATTCACTCGATTCCCAATTCCTCCCACAGAGGATAGTCTTTTTTTAGCAGTTAAACCACAGGGGGCCCACACAAACGGCGTGTCTGATCGTTTGTTCGAAATATAAAGAAATGTAGGGGAGAATATTGAAGAGTCGTAATATCGTAAACTTATATCGAGGAATGTCTATGTTAAGGTTCAAAATAAATGTAAACCTACCTCACTTGCCGTGTATTGTCGTTTCTGTGGTTCTAAATGGCGAATTTGAGCGATTTGGTAGATTTTGCGTTGACTGTTACGTACTCTATAACAGCTACTAGTTAACGCAAAATCTACCAAATCGCTTAAATTCGCCATTTAGAACAACAGAAACGACAATACACGGCAAGTGAGGTAGGTTTACATTTATTTCGAGCCTTAGCATAGACATTCCTCGATATAAGTTTACGATATTACGACTCTTCAATATTCTCCCCTACATTTCTTTATATTTCGAACAAACGATCAGACACGCCGCTTGTGAGGGCTCCCTGTGCGCTAACTCGCCGAAAACGCTTCAAAATGGCCTGAGACGCTGGTAATCAGCAAAGAAAACAACAAGGCAACAAGGTAACTCCATTTTATTTCAAAACAAGACATTTTTTCTCTCTTTTAAGGCAAACCGATGACATCCCATACAAACCTTTATAAATGTAAAACGTTGCGTAACACTGTAAGGAGGGGGGTGAATAGGCTAACGGATCGGCGGATTCTGAGAATTATTTTGCCCAGATTTCGGATTTAGAGCAAACTTTTAACGGATTTGCGGATCCTGAAATTGCAACGGTTCGCGGTTTTGTCGATTTTTTAGGTTTGGATTTTGGATTTTACTTGTGAGGAAGTTCGGATCGTGGATCTGAACGATCGTCAGAAATGCGTTGTTTTCTGAGTATCTGTATTTTTTGTCACGCACGAGACTCTCTGCATGTCACGCACTGGGATGTCTGCTGTGTTCGCGCCCTTATCCATGACACTGTACCCCACCGATTGCGATTCGCTCGATGGAAAAGCCATTGCCTAGCTAACACGCAACAGCTCAAGGTGCGTTTTCCACCTTTTTACGAGACAAGTAGTGAACGGATTCGGATTTAACAAATTTTTTTAACGGATTGACGGATTTGGTTATCAAATCGTAGCGGATCGGCGGATTTGCAAACCCCTATTCACCCCCCTCTGTGAGAGTCACGTCCTCTTTTCTAGCAGTGAGCTTGGGCTGCCTGTGATGCCACAGGATTTGGGCATGTTTTCTTAAAATATAAGAGAACACTAACAAATCGACAATGACGTGGACTATCTATGTATTGATTTAATATTCATTGGTTTACCATTCTTTTTTGATGATGTGATATTTTAATTAATTATTTTTGGCTTACGCTTTTGTCTCTTTTCAGAATAATGAACGAAGATCTGGAGCAGGAGATTCTGGAGACTACAATGGAAAAGAAAGGGAAGGATTTCATTGTACCGTTTTATGATAGTATCTACTCGTAATGGGTGTTATTCTACAAAAATTTTCTTCAAGCGAATTCAGACAGAATAAAAATACAATAGCAAACTTCAAGCTGTGAATCGAATGAGCTCTACCGAATTTTCATCCCGGCAATTCTCGCTTAGGTCATCTCCCAGCCTGATTTTCAAATAGCCTCGGGTCGTTCGCTCCGAATCCTCCTCTCTGAAGCAAACGACTTTTGAAAATATTGTTTTGGAATCAAACTGATCATCGTTCATAGTGCGAGTGAATTAGGAGCCGCAGCTGATTTTGATGGAGGCGAACGCAACGGGGCCGATCTCGCACTAGCCTCACGTGATTCGTTGCTTAACAATCGAAAACGGCGGTAGGTAGATTTCATGAATCTTGAACCATTGCTTTGTTTTTGGATAGAGCAGGCTGGACGTTTTTAACTCATTCCGGAATGGGGCGTGTGAAATGTAATTTTATTGATAACTGTAAGTTAAGATCGTGGAATGCATTTTGGTTATAAACGTTAAGTCACAAGTAGCTTTTACGAGTTCAGCGGACAGTTTACAGTAATAATCAAGAAGTTATTTTTATCGTAGTGACTCAATGAATTAACAAATGTAGTATAGTTAACAATAATTCCACTCGCGCTTGTTGGATACGAGATGATAGATAGCCAACGAGGCGCGTAGCGCCGAGTTGGCTATAATCATCTCGTATCCAACAACCG